CATAAGCAAAAAGAAAAAATCCGGAAGTGGCGCTGTGGCTCAAGTGGTAGAGTGCTAGCCTTGAGCTGAAGAGCTGAGGGACAGTGCCAAGGCCCAGACACAAAAAAAAAAAAAAAAAAAAGAACTATGAAGTGACATTACAGTGTTGGGAACACAGAACAAAAAGGCTACCTACTCTCCAGGGACCGAAGGAAAAGTCAATAAGATTAGGAGTTAAAATTCACAAGTATATGATGCTTTTGACCTGTGATGTATACACATTGTTTACTGAACTGAGATAGTGTATAAGTATTGTTTTTTAATTTTCCTTCTAAGTTTGCTGACGTTCTCAATTCCAAACATTCAGGTACTATTGTATATTACTGGTATTTTACCTCTGGCATTGCTTCAAATAATGTTCTTCTCCGCTTCGTAAATTCTTTCATATCTGTCAAGATTTCATGCTTTACTTCTAGGGGCAGGCTGCTGAAGTCCTCAGATTCAATGTCTACTGCATGGGGATTATGGAAGAACTCCTCCTGCAGAGGGTGAAAGCAAATAAGAGGACCTTTGCATTCTCTACATACAGTTCTCCTCACCGACAGACACTATGTTTATATCATCAACAGCGGCATGCAATGCAGAGGCTAAGTACAGCAGCACAGAACCTGAGATGAGGGCTGGTGTGAATAAACAGATCCACTCATGAAGGCATCCAGTAATCTGTCTGTTGTCATCTCAAACTGCACATACCAGGCATCAGGCCTCTCAAAGGCCCCAGAACACTGATGGGCTTGTTAAATAATGTCCCTATACTTAGGACTGAAGGAACACATTCAGTGAAGAATACAGATATATGTAAAGAATATATATATATATATATATATATATATATATGCAAACAAGGTAACAATCAGAAAATCAAGCAGGTTTTCTATTATAAGAGTGAATAGGAAAATAGGAAGAAAAAAAATAATTGTCTGATCAATAGAAATATCCCTACTAGAAAGATGACCTATGTCAGGGCACCTGAGAAACATCAAAGAACCTAACTGGAGACAGAGCATTCTGTACTGAGGGAAGCAGGTACAAAGGCCAGGAGGTAAGAATGAGACTCATATGATTAAACAATATTCACAATTCCCTTAATAAAAATTATATTTCTCTCTCTCTCTCTCTCTCTCTCTCTCACACACACACACACACACACACTACATCAACCTTATCCCTCTATTAGTCCAACTTTTTTTTTAAATTTATTCTTTTGTCTTGAACTGGGGCTTGAATTCAGGACCTGGCACTGTCCCTAAGCTTTTCTGCTCAAGACTAGCGCTCTACCACTTTGAGCCACAGCTCTACTTCCACCTTTCTGGTGGTTAATTGGAGGTAAGAGTCTCATGGACTTTCCTTTCTGGGCTGGCTTCAAATTGTGATCCTCAGATCTCTGCCTCCTGAGTAGCTAGGATTACAGGCATAAGTCACTACTGCTCAGCTATCCATCTACCTTTTATGTGGAACTTTCCTAAGTTCCTACTGCAATATCATTCATTTTCATATCATTCATCTCAAATAACAGAATTCCAAAATTATCTAATTACCTGCAATGCTTGTTTCTGATCCATTCTTTCCTGCCATTGCTTCTCATCTTCCTCTTCTGAACTGCAAGTCAAGCACACATTACAACACCTGTAACAGATCTTAGTGACTACTTAAGATTTTCTCAGGCTCAAGCTGCTACTAACTTTAGAGACCACCAGAGTAAGTAGAGCAGGAACATTTTGTCTTCCAGGGGCTAGCTGTCAACAGAGAATTAGCAATGACAGTGCGACCCCAAGATGTCTACCATAGGAAGGACCAGGTAGTTCAGTATGGAGGAACTTGTGAAAGCTTTCTGGAGTCTCCTCCAGTTACACTGGTTGGAGTCATCCGTAAGTACAGAGTGTAACTTTAGGAGCTACAGGAGGTTCATGGAGGACGTGCTCCAGGCAGAAAAACCAAGTTCTGTAATCATGTGGAAACCTATCTGGGGATGGTGTGAAGAAAAAGGGATAAGTTGGAGAAATGTGTTTAAGGAGTTCAAAGTTCTCAAGAAATGATACACAAAGCCAGGCTTTGTGATATAAAACTTTAGTCTCCAAGGAGACTCCAAATCAAACTAGGCGTCTTGGGACAAAGATCAACTATTGAGACTTTTGGTCTTCCACCTGCACTTCAAATACATGTTACTAACAAGTACCAGCCAGCCACCGGAAGAGGACTCCACAGAGAAGCAGGGCGGCATGGGAGAGAGGTTACAAGAGAGCCGCAGACAGGAGGTGCTGCAGGGGGTGCTGTGGGAAGCACAGGGATCCTGTGGCAGGTAGCAAGGAGGACAACACAGGGGCTATTTCAGCCTGGAGGTGAAGAAGGAGCCCTCTACAGAGCACTGGGTGTGTGAGCACAGGGGGAAATTTATGTCTTCACAACTAATAAAACCCCAAAGCCAGCAGAAGCTTTACGGTATAAAAAAGAACACTGAGGCCAGGCACTGGTGGCTCACCCTAACTACTCAGGAGGCTGTGATAGGAGGATCAAGATTCAAAGCCAGACTGAGCAGAAAAGTCCCCATGAGATTCTTATCTCCAATTAATCACTCAGAAACTGGAAGTAGAGCTATGGCTCAAAGTAGAGTACTACCCTTGAGCAAAAAGAGCTCAGGGACAGCACCCAGGCCCTGAGATCAAGCACTACAACCGACAAAAGAAGGAAAGGAAGAAAGAAGGGAAGGAAGAAAGGAAGAAAGGGAAGGAGGGAGAGAGGGAACACCAAAATTGTATTCATCAATAAACGAGTAAATTACAAAATAAAGTTTCATCTGTGGAAACTACTCTGAAGGATATAGAGAATAGGGCTTTTAATGTGTTAGCAAATTCCCATATGCTTCATCATGCAGGTAAGACATCATCTGTCTGAATGTCTCAATGGTTAAAGTAGTATTATCATTAAGTATTTAAATATTTACCTATGTTTATCTTCCTCTTGTAAAGGTGGCAGAACATAGATGTCATCTTCTCTTTGCACTTGTGTTAGACTGGGGAGTGCTTCATTTCTGAAAAGCACACATGACTATAAACAAGGATCCCCCACACCCTTTCCCACTGACTACAGGGCAGGGCCATTCCCCAGGACCCTGGCTGGGCAGGCCCCCAACAGCCTAGAGGAAAGGGGACCTTGCTTGGCTCCACAGAGCCTTTCACCCAACATCAAGTACAGTCATAAGGAAGAGTTTTAGAGGCCAGGAGCTGTGACTCATTCCTGTAATCCCAGCTACACGGGAGGCACGGGTAGGAGGAGCGTGGTTCCAGGGCAGCCTGAATAAGAAGGGCAAGGCCCTATGTGAGAAAGTAACAATAGTAAAAATGGAAGGGCTTTAAATCGACTTCTCAAACTACTGTAACTTTCCTCTTGCCTTTTGCTTTTGAAGGCAGTTTTGATAGCTTGTCTTTTCAAAAATGTTCTCAAGAGCTTCTCTGTGGTTTTCCTGGAGTCTCCAGCTGCCAAGTCCTTCCTGTGCCTTCTCTTCGCCTGTGAAGAGCAAGGGTGAGACATCACTCCAGAGCCAGTTACAATGCTTCTGTGATGTTCCTGAGAACACTCTGCGCTTGCTCCTCATGGCTGTCAATAAACTCACCCCCAGGTAGTGCCAGGATGAGGAGAGCAGAGTGTCCACTTTCCAGTCACAAGCACATCGGGTGTGGGAGAGCACTCATTCACTTACTTTTAAATGTCTTTGCTACTCTCCTTCCAAGAATCCCAAAACTACATGATAGCCAAGCAAATGTGTCCCCAAATGATTATTCCTTAAGCAAAACTTTAGTCTAAAAGCAACTTCAGATGACGTTATACAAACACATTACTTGTATGGAACTCTCTAAACTCTCAACAGTCAAATTACAATCAGAAGAAATTCTAAAATGGATAGAAATATCTTGTAGGAGTCAGGTGTTGGTGGCTCAGGCCTGCAATCCTAGCTACTCAGGAGGCTGAGCTCTGAGGATCAAAGTTGGAAGTCAGCCCAGGCAGGAAAGTCCTTGAGACTCTCATCTCCAATTAAGCACCAAAAAGCCAGAAGCAGAGGTGTAGCAGAGGTGTAGTGCTTGAGTGATAGCCTTGAGCCCAAAAGCTCAGGCCTAGGGTTTAAGCCCCAGGACTAGCCAATTTTATATATATATATATATATATATATATATGCAAA